TGGACTCTGATCAAATTATAACACCGATGAAGACCTATTTTAAAGGTCTCGGGAAATCGTTTGGTATCAAAGGTGTATCAAACGATTTAACTCAAATGATCAAATGAACTGCAAAAATAAATGACTTGACTCTGATGAAGTAATAGCACAAATACAGACCTAGATGAACACTTACTTATTTCAAATCCTTTAATATGAAAGATATAAAAATATTAAAAATTTGTTAGAATAATTATTTTAAAGTTGATGGAGAACACATTGATGAATAACACCAATATTTACCCTCAAGTTATAATAATATATCATGATCAAGTTTGAACTCAACTGTTGTTTATTATAATTTAAGAAATCTAAGTATTTAATATCAAGATAAATTGTATTAAATAATGTAAAAGGGCTTAATTGCTAAACTATATAAATCTGTTTACTAGACACATTTATCATAAGAGACCGTAAATCTCTTATAATTTTGAATATACATAGCCTTAATACTATAGTTGAACCACTTCTATATATTGTAAATGTTATTTAAATATTACCAATGTTATTTTAAAAAAGTGATCCAATTTGTTATACAGAAATGTCATTTTAAAAAAATTAATATGTTGTTTTTTTTTTGCTTAAAATGTTAATTTAATAATTTGTATTCGATATATTTTCTCCTTCAAAATTTTAACAAATGTCTAAAATACAAAATAAAAAGTAAATTCGCAATAGGGAAATCTAATGTAAATGTAAGTACTTTTCTATAACTTTTTGGTTCTATTATTGTAAAATATTAAAATTTAATAATATGAAATCAAGAAAAATAAGTTTATATGTTAAATTGATTTGTAAGGTTTATACCCAAAAACCATTTTAAACACTAAGAATAATAGAATAATAATAATAATAAAGAATAATAAAATTTATCAGATCATTGAATGTAATTAAAATTCTAATCAATATAGTTCTATTAGAATTATAAATTTTAGAAAATTTTTGGGAAAATTCATATTTATTAAAATAAAATTGAGTCATTCATGAAGTAATTTTATCACTTCACTAATAGTTATGTCTAAGTCATTACAATAATTATTATATTTATATTCATATTTTTTTATTGGGCTTGGATTTTCTTGGAATTAGTAAGAATAGCAGAATAGAACCTACTGCTTTCATTTCAATAATTTTTATCAGTCACATTTACAAGAATGATAAGAATTGTATCTGAAATAAAACTAGTTGCTTACATTTTTGCACATTTTCTCTGAGACCAACTGTTATTAATTACTTAAATATACATTTCCTGTATTCTGACTGCAATATATTTTTTCTTTTCCTCTATTTTATATTCTCGAATAAAAAAACTAATTGTGCGATGGTTTATACGACTTCAATTAAACGCTACATAGTTAACAGAAATTTATTAATATTCTATGTTCCCACATACTGATACATTTATCATAACTATTTAATGTTTTATTATGATTGTATCTACAATAGTTTATCAAAAGGTTTTAATTTAGTGTTTTGTTTGAACTAATAACGCTAGATTTTTCATTCTTTGGTTTTAATAGTGTACTTTATATTCAGTGTATTCCCGATATTGAATAAACACTTAGGTGACTGAGTAAACTCTTAGGTGACACTTACCTAAAAATTGTAATCATACTTAACCAATCCTATAGGCTCGGAATACTCACGATTTTGAATGCATTTTTCGATCCCTTAAATATTCACCTATAGATTGTGACTCCGCATGATTAGTAGATTGCTATGTATCTTACTTTCAGTTGCTGTTGATTTTTTAAAAGCAGTCATTTTTAATTTTTTATTATACTTTAATTTTTAACGATTTTTAATTTTAATATGATAATATAAACTAACATTAGATTTAAAGTAGCATGTTAGGTAAAAAACATATGACGAATAGTCACGACAGTTTTATGCTATTTCTAGTCATAACCATAAAGCCATGTTATGCAGTGAGTCAAATCCCAATTATCAATTTTATACCAACTTGGTACTTTTTGGTTGTAACTAAATTTAATTATTTATTTAAGTAAAAGGCTATTAAAGCACCCCGACCTAAAAGATCTATTGTGTGCCTAAAGGCCCAACTAGGACAATTTTAGACTATTTATAAACTAAATTTAATAATAATATGTATATTTACTCCTAAAATGTGCAAAATTTGACATTTATTACTAAGCAACAGTGTTTGGAACAGTTGACGAGGTATAGTAAAAAGCAGTCACGTCACGGCAATTGACGTTGTTGCTTTTAATGCAAAATGAAGTTAGATGTCAGTGTCAAATTTTTATTTTCCATTAAAAGCAATAACAATTACCGTGACGTGATTGCAATCATAATATGCACCTTTAAGTCACTATAGTGACCAAGGTGTTACCTTGATTTCTTGCTCCTATTCTCAAATTGTTAATTTACATTGAAAATAACAATAATTTCACTTTTGATGCAACCATAACTGTCTGCATAACATTAGTCTTAAACAATAGGTATTCAAGATTTTATATATGTAAAGTTAGAACCTATATAACATTGTGGGTATATATTTATCATAATTTTTTTTTTGACGAATGTAGTGTCACTACATTACCCTAGCACACATATCACCAACTTCTTGAATACCCCTATTATTATTGTTACTTTTATCAGTACTTCAATTGAAGTATACTCTATGTGTTGCTCGTTTTAAATACACAACGAAGAGATTACAGAGTATATTTTCCAAAAAAAAATAATGCAATCAAATGAAATACATTAACATACTCGCGTACGTAATTCTTTCTTTCCCATTCTGAGGTTCATTTAGTCTGCATATTTCCTCAATTTAGTATTCTTTTTATTTCATAAGTAGACGTATTTTATTAGTTTGGTGCATGACCATATGTTAATAAGAGTGATTAATCAATTTAATATTTAAATATTTAAAAATACTTGTCAATATACATTTATAAAAAAAAAGTTTTTCACAGTTTAGAATTTACTTCGCACGCCTATGTCTAAATGTTCGCTTATCTCATTTGTTAAATGTGAAATCTTATCTTTTTTATATGAAAATGTTCATCGATAAGAATTCCAGTATATGACATTACTTTAAACTATGTATTACAGTTTGGAAAGGCTGAAAAACTAAAAAAAATCATCGGTAAATTAGTTCGCACATTAAAATAAAATAAAGCAAATTTAATAGAAGTAAGTTAATTATATGTTCTATTGTTAAAGTAAAATATTTAAAACAATTTTATTAATTGCCAAATTTTGTGGTGCTGGTGGTGATAAAGAAATAATTTGTGAATACAATATAAATGTAAGGTGCTATGTATTAATTACACATAACCTCAATAAAATAATTAATATGTACATATACATTAAAAATAACGATCAATCAATGCAGTTCACTCATATTAAATATAGACAAATATTTGCAAAATATTTTAATTAATTTGTATTTTTTTTATAACAAATCTTCAATATAATTTATGAAGTGATAACTTAATAATAGATAATTAACGTTAATGTTTGTTATTAATTTTAGTACATAATTAATAGCAATCTATTATTTAATGGGACTGAAAAAAGGAAAAGAATTTTATCTGAAACGATAGGATATATAAATATTTATTGAAAATTAACTTTAAAAAATATTAATAACCCAGTGAATCATATGCGCCAAAGACTCTGTCAAAACTATATTTTATTATTTCAATTGGAAAAAACAGATATATCTAGTAATATCTGCCTATGCAAATATGTCCAAAGTACACATTCACAGTTTTTTAAAACATTTTTTACTTAAATGAGTTTATAAGTAAATAAGTTACTTTATAAGTTACTTAAATGATTTTATTGTATTCATTTGTAACCATATTACATACTAAGCAAGCTTCTTAGATCTTTAACGGAAATAATAAGTGGCAGTTGGCTTTAGAACGATTTATGTTTAATAACGTCAAGTACCAATGAAGACAGTTAATCATTCATGTAGACTCAGTATCCTCCTTGAGAACTCATATACATACATTGTACTTACGTTCTTAACCAGCTTTTTAGTGAACTTTCAAAAAAAAGATGATATTCTCCTGCAGCAAACACTGTACTGAAGTCAGAGTTTAGTCATGCTGCAAATCCATTTCTCCCACATAACACTGTCTAATTATTACATATGTCTCTAAATCTATTCGGCTTAATGCAGTTTATCAATTGCCAGATGGCATATACCATATACCATGAATATAAATCAGTTATGTCTTGGCACCATTTAAATGAAAAATTTTAGAATATTGGAACCAATTTTTTTTTTCTCTAGTGGTTTATAATGCGTTTATGTCTTCCGTCAGTTAATTTACAAATAGATTTGCAAAATTTAACAGTAACTGACACTAAACGTCACAACCAATAATTTAACGATGAGTTAAAATTTCGAAATTACTGTCATGTAAGGATAAAGGCGATCATAAATACCTGTGGTAGCAAATTTTACAGGAAAACAAGGTAAATTTATACAAATCTGAAATCGCAGCCATCTTACAGAAAAACGCGCTCATATCGTAAAATTTAAAGTTTAATTAATACATTATTATTTACACACTCCCAATAATGCATATAAATATCGGTATTAATATTATAAGAAGGCAGGTTCACTTGGTTTAATCTATTGTTTATTAATTACATTCTTTTGTATATATATAAGAAAAGCGATTTTCTACTTTAACTAATGCCCTTGCTTCGCCTTACAGAAATGTTTCTGTTGCAACTATTATAAACTCTAATAACTAGCACAAGTTTCGTTATTAATTAGATTTAATTATTGGGTTCTTGGGTTCTTATATAGGCAACACTTTATACACATAATAATGATCATTATTATATTATTAATAAACACATAATAATTAAAACATTTCGCAAATAAAGTCTAACAAACTAACATAGAATTAAAAATATAATCTGTAAAAGTCTTACTTATTTTAAGAATTTTTTTACAAATCTGCCAGATAAATTTATTCAACATCAACTTTATTCATCGTAGATACAAAAGAAGAGAGTTTGGGACACGCTATTTACAATAAGTAAACACAGAAAAATATGCCTCTTTTTTCCAAGAAAACTCCAAAAACTGAATCGAACCTTCAAAATGACAACAACAACACAGCGAATGGTAAACCAACCACAAATGGAACTGCTGCAGTTGCTCGAGTCAGTGACCCAAACATCACAAAGCCACAGTTAATTTTTCATTGCCAATTAGCGCATGGCAGTCCCACGGGTCTAATAACAGGTTTCTCTAGTGTGCGAGAACTTTACATCAAAATTGCCGAATGTTATGATATGCCAGTTGAAGATATACTTTTCTGTACTCTCAATTCGCACAAGGTCGATATGAACAAATTACTCGGTGGTCAAATAGGCTTAGACGATTTCATTTTTGCGCATCGAAAAGGACGTCCCAAAGAAGTGGAAATTGTAAAAACAGAAAATGCATTGGGTCTAACAATTACCGATAATGGTGCTGGCTTTTCTTTTATTAAACGCATTAGAGAAGGTTCAGTTATTGACAAAGTAGGACATATATGTGTTGGCGATCACATAGAAAAACTTAATGATATTAGTATGGTGGGTAAACGACATTATGAGGTGGCACGTTTGTTGAAAGAAATACCAACAGGAGATACTTTTACATTGCGCTTAGTTGAACCCATGACAAGCGGATTTCAAGGTATCGGTCCACGTAGTCAAGCAAAAGGACCCTCAAATCGTGGTTATGGTAGCGGTAAAGAAACTCTACGGTTTAAAGCGAATGGTAATGCAGAAATTGAAGACAAACCCGATGATTCAGCACAATCTGGTATCGAAGCCATTAATAATTTACTAGAATCATTTATGGGCATAAATGACAATGAACTAGCCTCACAAATTTGGGACTTAGGTGTTAATCAAACAAATTCTATGGACTTTGCAGAAGCAATCGATAATTCAGATTTGGAGTCTTTCGGATTTACTGATGATTTTATTATTGAACTTTGGGGTGCTATAACCGATGCAAGGCGTCTCAAAACTGAAAAGAATTGAACTTGAAATGTGTCATTCCTAAATCATTTTATATTTAGTTTAAAAAAAACTCATAGTTTTATTGAGCTATGTTATAATAGGTATTACCGATTTATAGACAAACACTATTTTGCCAGACAATAAAATATCAATTAAATTTTACAAAAAAAAAATAATGTGTTTGACATTAAAATCTATTTTATATATAAAGCTATGTTGTAAAAAATTACTTTGAAGTAGAAAAAAAAGCATTTAAATATTATAAATATTTATTTTTATGAAATTAATTAAATAAAATGTTAAATGAATTGTTCTGCTCATTTTAATTTATTTTTCTATAAATTGTATATTTATTAAATAGTTAAATAAAAACAAAATATTTATTATTTTAAAACACAAAAATATGATTTTTTTATTCATTTGTCATATTTGTTTAGTATTTTTCCATTATTTATATTAAATATTATTACCCACGTGCTTAGTATTTTCAAATTTTATTTAAATTTTTTATTTACCTTTCTTCTGTTTTATATTTTTTTTATTAATATATTTTTGGCAGCAGTAACAAATTTTTCAAAAAATTTTTGTGTGGGCGGTAAATATAATTTGTCTGGCAATGTTTCCTAGTCCATTCATTCATACAATTTTATCAGCTGACTAATATAGACTTTATAAAATAATTTTTAAAGTGCCCTATAAAAACAAAACTATAATATGTATAAATAAATTATTTATTATAATTCACGAAAAAAAAATATGAATTTTCATTAGATGACTAATGATTGATATATATTTTTGTTTATTGTTATAAACTATAAAACATATATGAAATTTAATGGATTCTATGCAAATATAGTAGTAAAATCATGTATTGATCAA